TTTTTTTTTTTTTTTAAATCATATTTAATCACTGTCAAAATCATTAGTTCCAGACTGTGGGTTAATGGAATCCTTTAAATGAATCCATCAATATAATTGGAAAAGCTTTTACTGCATCCCATTTGTTTGTTTGTGGGGGTGGGGGTGGTTAAAGCATGTTGGTTTTTCTTTTTATCTTGACATTTATTTTTCTTTTTCTGAAATAGGATGGTGAAATGTCAAGGTTGAATCAATCTGCAAATGGAGGGTTTGCAGATGGCTTCAGACATAATGGATATAATAAAGGTTCTATTGATCACTGCAAAACTGAGAAAGAAGAAGGAGAGCTATCACCAACTGGTGATTTTGAAGACAATTTTGCCACATATGCGGCTGGCAGTTTACAACCCGCTCGTAACAAAAATCAGCGCAATGACAGCATGCAATATGAAACTGGTGGCCATGAAGAGATTTCTCCAGATGCTGCTGGTGAAAATGATGCAGAAGCAGATGCAGATGACGAGGACAGTGAAAATGTCTCTGAGGCTGGTGAAGATGTTTCAGGAAGTGAGTCTGCTGCTGATGAGTGCTCCCGGGAAGAGCATGAGGAAGAGGAAGATGGAGAACATGATGGTAAAGCTGAGAGCGAAGGTGAGGCTGAAAATATGAATGAAACTCACTGTGTTGGAGGAGATGGTGTATCAGTGCCACAGTCTGATCATTTCCTACTGACTTGTAAGCCTCTGTCAAAGTATGTGGCTTCTCCTCTACTAAGTGATGGGAAAAAGGATCGACGTATTTTTTATGGGAACGATGCCTTTTATGTGCTTTTTAGGCTGCACCAGGTAAGGTTACAATAAACTAATATTTATTTATTTTTTCTCTCGGTTGATTTGATCCAAGTGGCAATGCTTCCTTTCCCCAAAACCTCCTCCAAAATATGTTAAAGAAAAAAAGAAACTCTAATCTCTAGAAATATAGCATGCATGTTGGGTTCAGGTTTACTCTTTTCATTTCTTTATTTTATTTTACATGATTTGTTCTTAATTCTTCCAGACACTATATGAGAGGATATTATCAGCTAAGGTGAACTCAGCTTCTACTGAATCGAAATGGAGAAGCTCAAAGGACACATGCTCTGACCCCTATGCAAGGTGATTAAAAGAAATAGTATATAATGAGTTCAGGAGTTGTATTGAATTCCATTAATTCTAGATGAACATGTTAAATGCAGATTCACGAGTGCACTGTTTAGTTTGCTTGATGGATCTTCTGATAATGCAAAATTTGAGGATGATTGTCGATCACTACTTGGAAATCAGTCATATGTGCTATTTACATTGGATAAGCTGATATATAAGTTAGTCAAACAGGTAACCTTCCTAAAAATTTGTTTTATAACCTTTCCATTTCTTCTCTGCTTATAAGTGTATTGTTTGAATAATGTTTCTCTTTGCAGCTCCAAACTATTTCCAGTGACGAGGTGGACTTCAAGCTGCTTCAATTGTACGAGTACGAAAAATCTCGAAAACCTGAGAATTATGTTGATTTGGTTTATTACGAAAATGTTCATGTCCTTCTGAACGATGAGAATATATACCGGCTTGAATGTGTAGGTTTCCTGATACTTTGATTGATTCCTTCTAGTTATACAGCACTATATATGTGTATCATGTTTATTTGAAAAGGCAATACTTAGTTATTTTCATGCTTCTCGTAGACATCTTTCCCCACCTCTTTGTCTATCCAATTAATGGATGATGGAAATGAGAAGTCTGAAGTTGTTGCTGTTTCAATGGACCCTAACTTTGCAAATTATCTCCATAATGATTATCTTCCAGTTGTTCCTGGACGAAAGGAGTCATCTCCGGTTATGCTGAAGAGGTATTAATGTTATTTGTTATGTCACATAATTAAGAAATAAGCATCATCCTGCTTACCTTAATGAATTTAAAAAATTGTAGTTGAACTTGACAAATTTCGACTAAGAAGATGAGGCGTGGAGTGTTATTTGTATGTTGGACATGTTTCTTGTACATCATACATAGTATAATGGTTAATTTAATTTTATATCGATATGATATACGACAGCAGATTTTTGGAATTGAATTGTGTTAAAACTATGACCTGTAATAAACTGCTGGATTTTTTGTAATGAGACTTGGGCCTTTTCCTCTTTGTTTCTAGGACTTTTATGATTAGACACAAATAGACTATGCTAGCAGCATTTTTTAGTATATACCCATTTTTTAACTGAAGCAAAGTATCAGCTTTTGAGTCTTGGTTTTCCTGTGCAAATTATACTTGAGTTATGGACTCTTAAAGAGTCTCGTGGCACTCATAATTCCTGCTTGTGCTAGAGTGAAATGATTAGTACAGGTTATCCATCAAACTGAAATACGTTTGCTTATATCTCATCTGCATATTGTATTTTCTTTGTTTATCAACTCCATTAATACTTTTGTGAAGGACGCGCGTAAGCAAACCCTATACTTGCAGAAGAGTTGTAGAAGAAGGGAAGGGGAAGAGGGGAAGAAGAGAAAGGGACTAGACATAGGAGACTTTAGCGTGGAAATATTCTCTCTTCAATTCATTAGAAGTCGGTACAATGTAATGCATAATCCTGTACATAAACCCTGTGGTTTTACCTAGTCTGGTTTAAGTAGGGAACCAGGGTAAAACCTAACTTTAGTCAAAATAGGAAATTATAATAATTCCAAATATAACCACTCTAAAACTTATTAGGATAATAATATGAAATCTTTTTGAGTCTCCATCTTTATCGGTTGAGAGAAATTGGCCCCAGAGAGAATAAGACAACATTTCCAAGGCATCTTTCTTCCTAATCAATGATCGATATTGAGCTCTTGAAGACAACATAGTATGCGTATCTTTTGAAGAATTAGCTAATTACAAAAAAAGTGGCAAGAGTATAAAAGGACTAGCACATTGAATTGGAACAAATGATTGGAGATTTTCCCAGGTTGAGAGAACTCGACTCGTAGAATGAGAACATTTTCAAGGGAATGATCTTTCTTCCTAGCTAAAAATCGATATTGAGCTCCTGATGGAAACAGTGTGTGTGTCATCTGAAGCATTAGCTAACTACAAAAAAATGGAAAAAAGTATGAGGGAATTAGAACAAATGATTGCAACATTAATGGCTCGAATGCACTCTAACAAGGAAACAATTTTGCTATATTGATAACAAATTCTATTCAAGTGTGATAGCTAGTCAAATAGAGGAGCATTTGATTTATGCGATTGTTTGGTATAGTGCACAAAGCATAACGTAAAAATCCCATTGAAATATTTGTGCCTACCGTGAACATTAAAAGAACGCTTATAATATTTTAAGTAATTCTTCAGCGTGAAAATGGTGAACACGGTCGATGGTCTAATGACAACTAGAAAGGTTTGCAAACATACTGAAGCGACAAGGACCAATCAAACAACGTAAGAAACTATAGGACAAAGTCAATGTGAAAGTAACATCAAGGGCTAAGAGATAATGATTCTGGCACCAAGTCAAGGGAATGTGGAATGTTTACACAGGTGGGAACTAATAATAATTCTTCAAGTAGGATATTGTTATTTGTGTCCAGTAAAGGTGTGATAGCAATAGGCAGAGGGGGGACTTATATGAAACTCGAAATTTCCGTCCTCACTATTGAAACATTCTATGGGATCAATAACAATAGTCTCTCTTCTTCTTGGATTGGAGAATCAAAATTGAGTTTCTTGACAGGAATTTATTTTGGACATGCAGAATCTATAAGTTCAACTAAGTGACAAAATTGAGAATGGTGATAGCAAATGGACATGGCCTGGACACGGGAGGAACAATACACTAAATGAAGTTCAACTTACTAGTAAGTAGGTTTGTTTGTGGAATTTATTTAGGAAGACCAGCACAACAAGACTTACTACTAGGTATAGGATTAGACTGTCGGGAATCAGGTGACAAGGGTGGTGTATGCCTTGTGGTCTATACTTTAAGCTCAGAGTATTTTCTTCTTTGGTCGTTTAGAGGCGTTTTCATAGAAGTATTTTTCAAAGTATAATGCCCAATGGTAAGCTTCATCTGAAGTCTCGGGGTGGGAAATAAATTTAATATGATGCTTGAGCCCGGAAGTAAACCATTTATTAATCTGGAAGTTGTGATGCGAGGAGTCAATAACAGTTGACTTACGTTGTAACGACCCGACCTCGCACCGGAGCCGTTATATTACGTACTGTTCGCTTCAGGAGAGCCTAGGTCCATCTTACCCCTCACGGCTTTTTGACTCGTCCTTCGGGATTCGAACACAAGATCTTTATCACATAGGAGACTTAAGTTGAATCCTGTTACCAATTCCTGATACCAATTGGTACCAGGATTCAACTTAAGTCTCCCATATGATGGAGGTTTTGGGTTCGAATCCTGGGGGAACGCGTCGAAAGCCGTGAGGGGATAAGTGGGCAGAAGCCCATCCCAAAGCTGACAGTACGTAAGATAACGGCTCCGGTGAGAGGCCAGGTTGTTACAAAAAAACTTGCTCAATTGGTACCAAAATTCAATTTAAATTTTCCATATGATAGAGGTCTTGTGTTCGAATCCTGAGGGACGTATCAGAAAGCTGTGAGGGGTAAGATGGACGTAGGCTCTCCCGAAGCGGGCAGTACGTAAGATAACGGTTCCGACGCGAGGTCGGGTCGTTACAAAAAAAAACGCGTGTTTTTTTATAACGACCCATGTTTCTATACCCAAGCCGTTATCATATCATACGTACTGTCCGCTTTGGAAGAGTCTAGGCCCATCTTACGGCTTTCTGAGGCGTCCCCAAGGATTCGAACCCAAGACCTCCATCATATGGGAGACTTAAGTTGAATCATTAGGTATAGAGACCTGGGTCGTTACAAACATTGCATTTATTGCAAAGAGAATTGATCTTGGTAAGCAGGGATGTATTGGTTGCTTAATATTCGTTTTACCTCATTCTATCCCACAAATTGATATGACACTGATTGAGATGGTTAATGTTACGTATTACCGACTACCAATAATCATTGGAGGATCCTACAATTGTCAAACTAGCAACATGTACGACAAAAGTTACTCATTTTATGCAATTTAAAGAAGTTTTCAAGAGTATTGAGTCTAACAAGAAAGCCTCTCATTAGGTTCACGAAAGTTTCACGGTTGGAATATGGTTTCCTAAGTAACATAATGGACTCTTTCAACACCGTCTCTCCTAGAATGAGAGTAGTTTTATTGATAAGGCAACGTTAAATGCTCACAATGGTGGTATTTAGCTATGGGCTCAGCTTATTTAAGTGGCCATGGTTTAAAAAAATTCAATTGGGGCCTGCAAAGTGAGGCGAGCAAAAGACTCCTCAAAGAAAGCTCTGATTGTGAGGCAATTTTTGGAGGTGTACACCTCAGTTGCTTGAGACGCCTTACAGAACCGCTTCAAAGTTTGCAAGGCATATGCTTTTTAATTCTTAAAACATTTTTATTTTGCTTTAGGTGTGGACCTACAAGGCACAAAAATACATTGCCCGTTGCCCTTATAAATGTTAAAAAAATGTTTTTTCCTCATAAACCCACTTTGAAAATAGTCCATTGCCCCCACCAAACTAAAATAATAGCTCATTTTTCTTGTTACTTTATAGATTATTATTATTATTATTATTTGCACATTTTAATTTGTTCTATTATGAATTTAAAGATTTTTTATGAGCTTATTTTGCATTTTAATAATAACTTGACATTTTTGGTTTATGATGAGGCTTACGTCTCGTCTCATGAAGGTAAAATGCCTTGGTACTCTATTGCCTTTTTAAACATTGCATAGGAGGCTTCCTGTTCATTATGTTGTTGAGGGAAGTAAAGATGATATAACAAAACTTACATTGCATAAAGCATTTTTATATGAGCACTTAATGCACAAAATAAGAACAAAAATTTAAAGATTAGATCCATTTTTTTTTTAAGTTTCTTCCTTTTGTGTAGATTTCTAGAATTATTTGCTATTTTTTGTCTTTGGTTTTGCCACTGGTGATACGAATAACTGATTTGTGGGATTAGGACAATCATCAATTCACACTCACAGCCAAATCGGTTCGCCAATTCCACCGTCACCACGCCGCTAGGTAGGTTATCTCGCGCTTTCCCCGGCAAGGAGGCACTGACCGTGTCTCCGTGAGCAACGGAGACACGGGATGGTGGTGTCTCCGTGAGCAACGGAGACAACGTTTCTCCTTGTGCGCACACGGTGTCTGAGACAATTTTTTTTTTCTTCTTCTTCTTCAGTGGTGACAATAACGTTTTTTTTAAGGTAGTAGAAATCAAAGCTTGAAGACGTAAGTATTCTTTGATTGTCTTTTGTTCTGAGTTTTCGTGGTGATTTTTGTTTTCGTATAGATATTTTAGATACTGGCTTGATTTATTTCATAATTATGTGATTTCATTTGTATAATTGAGGTGCTTTTGCTGTAGTTTTCTCTCTGTCAATTCTTCTGGGATTTGAGGGTTCAATTTTGTCGAGGAATTAAAATTAAAGAAACCAAAAACACTTGCAAAAGGAGATGAGTTGCTTTTCTTGTATGACCCCTCGACTTAAGCATGAGAGGGGGTTACGAAGAAGATATGACCCCTAAATCCATTGGTTCTTCAGGTTCATTTTTCTCTCTCAGTTTATTTATTTGTACAGAATTAGTTTTTCAATAATTGTTCTTCTACAATGTGCTTAATTATTTTATGTATTTTTATGTTTGTTTCATTACTATCAATCATGCTTGGATATGCAGTTGGTGTGATGGCAATTACGGAAAAAGCAAATTTTAGTGACAATATAAGATGATAAATAGTTTAAAAGTTTGACATATGATGAAATTGTAATGTGTCATTTTGAATCTTTGTTGAATCAATGTGCTTGCAATAACTTTTCAAGTGCAAGCTTGAAAAAGATTACAATGAGTACCCAAGTCTATGACAAGTGACATAAATATGCAATTGCAACTTGCACTCTATTTATTCCGGGATACATTTGTTAAGGAATTCGTAGTACTAAAAGAATGATGACAGTGAGACTATAAATTTCATCTGCTTTAAGTCGCTATGCCTCTCATAAGTGTCAGCTAAATTAGATTTATTTAGATGTTATATTGTCTTTTGGCTTTCTAATTCATGTGAAATTGTTGTACAGTTCATTCCAATTGCTTGGTTGATGCCGTGACATATTTTTTTATTGTATGCAGGACATCAGACAAATGTACTTCTCTAATATTCTCCCAAGTGTTTTCTAGCTCTCTCTAACTTTACAAAAAGCAGCAGCAATAATTCATTTACTTCAATCGAAGACGAGCTACAAATTGCAATTACATGATTTGATTGTTATTGTTGTTTGAATTCGGTTTTTAGTTGAGTTTTTGATATGGTTTTTGCTTTTTTTGATCATCGCCACGGTAGGAAGTATTTGTCTTTTGATGGTTCTGTTGGTTTACTGATTTAAATCTTCTTTGTGAAGATGAGCACACATTCTGACATAGGTAAAAGAAAGGGAATCCGAAATGAGGACAAGCAGGTGAGTAATATAATTAGCTGCACTTCTGTTGATATCTATATGCTTTCATTGTCTCATGCAGCTATTAGGAAGATCTTCTAGAGGCTGATTGGGCATGGTAATTATGAGTAGTTCAGTGGCTTGGGCATTGAGTTTCATCTTAGAATCATGAATACAGGACACAAAACATGACACGCCAATGCTTAAAGAGAAAAAGTTATGGAAAGGAAAGAGGGAACTAACTTCATTTAGCTAAATTTTGGCGCATTAAATTTTTCATCCTGCTCAGTTTGAAGATGGAAAGAACCATTAATTTATCAGGATACTACAGTTTGTTCTATCTCTGCTCTGCTATTTGGTGAAACTATTTATTTAACTTAAAGCTTTTGCACCAGTGATCAGGGCGGCCATTGGAATACTAAATCTTGCTACAGTCTTACCTCAGGTAGTTTATTGTCTTTATTGCTGGTTTCCTATTTTGATTGATTATGAATGTTGAATAGGCTTCGGCCAACTAATGTAAATGATAACTAAACAAAATATAGCCATTTCATTTGAGTTGGCTTCATTGTTTGTGCTTTTTGTGTATCGTTGTTCCATTTCCTTTAGCCCTATTGCTTTTGTGTTTGATTTTTTTCTCTCTGTCTTTGTTCCAGTGCAGGATTGCAGTTTAATAGGAGTAGAAATGGGGAGGAACGTTTTTACAGCGTCGCGAGGGCTTGTCGGTGATATTGCTATTAATTATTTCATGCCTGATCCAAGAAAGTTAACATTCCCGAGGTTGTTCCCGGTTTCCGTCCATGACTATTCAACTCAAAGGCCGAGTTCTAACGAGTCATTCACCCGAGTGATCGAAATCGAGATCCAGTGTACCCGGACGACGACGGTGACGAAGTTTTATTTCTTTTATCTATTTAATATCTTTATGTAATAACTTGTTTTTGTTATGTGTATATTTTGCAGGCAAATGGTGGAAAATAAGGGGATGATGTATCTAGAAAAGGTGTGAAAGTTTTTTTTTTTTTTTTTTTCTTTTCTTCAGGTGTAAAAGCTTTTTTGCTCAGATACCTTAAAATTTTGGTTTTTGTCAAAATCTAAAATACTTGTGAATAAGAGTGCTATTAGATTACTCATCACTCATCAAAGATGAAAATGATAAAGCTGTTCCATGTTCTTCTTCATTTGAATATTTTTTTAAGTTCTAATTTCTGATCCTTGTTGCTTATCTTGATTTTAGAAAAACTTATGGTAGGTTCTAATTTATAGCTTATCTTGATTTTGGAGAAGAGGAAGATGAACCAAACCTTGCTTCCCAATAGTAGTACTCTGCTTCACTTGCTTGAAATTCCTCGGCTTATGGTAATGTAATTTGTATGTTTGACATTTTATTTCATCATTTTATTTCCATCTGCCCCGTTTTCCTTTGAGCAATTTCTTCTGCTTAAGAAAACAGATTTTCCCCACTGGGATGATACGGATATCGACTTTAAGGTGGATGAAGGAGGAGGTGACTCCATTAATGTTGCGACTACTCCAGCCTCCCCTTCTCTTTCAAATATGTAGCGGCAATGAAGACTACTCCATCCTCCCCTTCTTGGGTTTATTTGATTGGTAGAATGTGTACAATCGTATGTTTCATTACGCATTTTAAGTTTTTTAGCTTAATAATGATTGCAGGCAAATTATTATGATTTTTGTTCTTAGATACCGTTTGGTTAAAATCATTTTAGGTTTTTGATACTTGGATAGCTGAATTCTTTATTCTAAGTTTTTAGTTTATGTGGATTTTACATATTCAGATTTTGTTGCAACTAGGGAGGAGCTGGTAAAGGAGTCTATTGAACAGGGAACCAACTTGGTTTCTTTTGTTTCCATTACCAAGCTCACTTTTCTGAATTTTGTAGGACATTAAAGTGGAAGTTAACTTGGGCGCAACTCAGAAATCTCTGCCTGTGGATGCCTCATCAATTTATGGTCAGGCAGTTCTTCAACCAAAGTCTGGACTTGGTGGTGCAGGTCACTCTGAAGGAATATGTTCGTTTATACATTTTCTTGCTCCTTGCAATACATTAATAAATAATTTGGTTAGACACATGCTAATTATATCAAGTGTCTATCTCTATGTTTCCCCCTTGGTCTATTCATTTTAGGTTATGTCAGCTTTTTCACAAATTGAAAGTTTCTCTTTTCAAATGAAACGGAGACTTTGGAAATGTGTTTTTGTGACATTAATGTGACATCTCCATCAATATGTTTGTCTATGGAGATGATGGAAATGAGAAGTCCAAAGTTATGGCAGATTCCATGAACCCTAATTTTGTAAACTTGTCGTTCGTGACAGAAAGGAGTAATCTGCAAAGAGGTATTGTTATTATTTTTCAAGCTACGCAACATAGAAAATTGTGACAGCCTACTTATTAGAAAGAAAGATAGGACAAATTTTAGCCACTTTTAATAGGGTATGTCTAAAAAGATGAGGAAAAAGCATAAATAGCTAGAATTTCTCTTACGACATAAATATTTTATTCAGATGTTATACGTCATATAGTTCTTCTATTTTTTTCTCTAGAAACAGTAATTATTTTCATTAGTTTAATGACATTTTGATTGATTGATTGATTTCATTTTCTGGTGTTGCTTCTAATGCACGTGCAGAAACGTGTGTAAATTTGCCAATATTGATGAATCTTCTTTTTGCATGGCTATGGAAAATGTCCTTGTGATGAATGGTTTGGAATGTAAGATGGCATCCAACTCATCCAAGGTATTCTTTATCCTATTATGGTATCTTGCACCTTCACTAAGATCCTATTATCTGTGCATTTACAAATATTAATAATTTCTAGTTCAATGGATTCTTCATTGAATTAGATGTTGATTGATGCCTATTGATTTCAATAAACTGATGCTGTTATTTCTTGTTACACAACCACTAGTACTCATGTCTTGTATTAATTTCATTTTGTTGATATTAGTGTTGGTTGTAGAATATGCTAGTCGGGTTCTCATTGCTAGGAGCCATGAAATTTTGTCTAAATTATTTGAGTGTCCTCTGGTTGAGGTTTCCAATTACTTTGCTCAAGTGGAATCTCCCAGATTAAGTGATCTATTTATTTCATGGAAAATTATGCATCTAATTACAAAATTTGCTTTCAGATATCTTATGTCTTGGACACAGAGGACTTTTTTATTCGTTTGGGGAGGAGAAGAAACCGATTGGGAGACAGATCGTCATGCAATAATCGCGCTAGGGTACTACGGTTTCACCAATTTTTGACCACCTCTATATGATATAGTTGGCCTTACTATGATGCTGTGACTATTAAGGTATTTATACTTTTCTTTATTGAGTTTTTAGTTCAAAAATTAACTGCTTGTTTAGTTATGCTTAAAAAGTCAACTCACAAAGTCACAAGTTTCACAATAATCAACTTTTTTATTGGTTCAAATGGAATAAGCTTATTTTGACAGCCAAGTAAGATCTACTTTCAGAATAACTTACTTTTCTTAAAAAATTAGAGATGGTAATCTTTTCTTCCTTTAAAAGATTTAACTATTTACTTGCGCTATGTTTTTCTCTTTGTTAGAGTGTACTCTCACTAGGTCCACTCGATACATGACTGAGCAGTTGATTATTTACTTCTTGACGAGCCCAGTGAGGGAATGGAGTTCTCTGGATTGTATTATCTCGTGAGCTTATGTTAATGGTATGTACTCCATTCATCTGTATATAGGACTCACCCATAATCTCAATTGTAGAGTCGTGCTTATTAGTGCTTTCATTGGCGAAAAATTGCCCTGCACTTTTCATTTTGTAATCTGTTAGTCTGTATTTGATTCTGCTAGATTATGTGAGAGATAGTGATGGTGGGATAGGGAAATACCGAAATAGTATAGTAGAATGATCAGATTTCAAAATTTCAAAATGTTCTTTTCGTTTTGTACAGAGCTTAAACCCTGATTCATGTTTAAAGACTTTTTTGTAAATTAAGGTCTTTCCATTTTATCATTATCTTTTATATGTTTTTGGTTTCTTTTTTTCTTCAATGTAATTCGTGGTTTTAATAAATTAAAATGTTGATTTGGTGATTGTTGATTATGGAAGAGTCAAACCCAAATTACATTGCTGCTATAGTCCCCAACCTTTAGCACTATATATATGTTTACGTTGTAAATTTATTCGAAAGAAGCATTATGGAAACAAGCAGCAAACCCAAGTCAATGGATTGGAATAAGGAGGTGGCTAATTAATGGAAAAACAATGGTATGTTGTACAAGCAAAAAGTTCGAAGTTTAGGGACTCTGGAGGTGAAGTAAAATCACTTTGGTGTAACTGGTGTTTCAATTAAAAAAATGAAAAAAAAAACCAACTTAAATTTGGGCAACCTACTCTAATTGACTAGTGTAAGTTTAGGAAAAAAAGGGAAAAATAAAAAATCTCCGTTAGCCAAACAAATGTCAGTAGACCACCCAAAAAGCAAAAAAATCCAACGTTTTAAGTTTTTAAGCCTAGACCGGACGGTGAACTTGATTACAGCTCTATTTCCAATTTCTTAGGTCAACTAACCAGTCTAATTTAATTTTTATAATGTAGCCATATACCAAGATGCATTCATAGTTCGAAATCAATATACTAAACTATCCTTTCACACAGCACCAAGAATAAATCTATTTGTACATTTCCCTTTACCACTTGGTTGATAGATGGATGATGTGACAGTTTTATGATTGTTGAATTAAACGTATGAAATATGAAAGGTGATGTGAGATTATGTCAAGCATAAATTTCATAAATCAGGGTGTAAATGGAGGCAAGGATATAGCAAGATTGGAGGCGTATAAATTTTATTGAACCTGTCACGAGCTGGTTTCTGATTTTTCGGATCAAATCAACCAGTCCAATCTGTTTTTCAGAATATAGCCAAAAACTTAGATGCATTCATGGTTATCCACTTGTTTGTCCGGTTACTAGACTTTACACCTCATCATATCATCTCGACTCGTGAATAACCCCGCAATGAACATGAAAGTGTGTGATTGTGTGCATACACAAATTAAAGTCCAGTCCCACGTCGAATCTGGCCTGGGAATAGCTAGCAAGACTTCTTATTTTTATCTCAATATTTCAAGAATTTTAAATTTTAGATTAGAGAAGATTAGTTGAACTCCCTAACATTTTAATTAGTGTGATTTCGAGTCCCTAATCTTCAAAAGTGAAGTTAGGAGGGATCTCCAACTCATTTAATTCTATGAAACCGAGTCCTTCTTGATAAAAATGATGAATGTTGCCAAAATTGAACGAGACTTTCACGTGACTTATAGCTAGAGGAAAAAAAAATAACCAAAGCCCTCATTATTCATCTTTAACTCATGTAAAGTTACGCGCACTTTTATCATCTACATTATCAATTTCTATCACGTAGGAACCCAATATCACTTTTGAAAGTTAGACACCAAATGAAAGTCAAAAAATAGCTAATCAAGAGGTGGGTGAATTAGTTTTTAATTTTTTTTTTTGAAATATTATAATAATTTGTGGAATAAATATATCAATCAAATAAATAACACAATTATGAAAGTTATAAGTAAAAGGGAAGAGAATAAACAAACGATGTAATTGTGAATGTTTGATTTAAATTGATGATATATGTCCTCCGTTACCGAGCTCTCTGTCACGAGCAAGATCTTTTCACTATATTGGATTGACTTATGGCATAATTCAAAACCATACAAAGTTTTCGATGACTTACATATAAGTAGCACCAACCCTTTTATAATATTGAGCTTTTAGGGGACCTCAATATGACCCAAAAGTTTGAAGAGAAATAATTTTACAATTTGAAAACTTCTCTCTTAATAGTTGATATAAACAAATTAAGTACTAAGAGAGATAGATAAGCTATCACTTCAATGAATAACAAAAGCACAAATATTAGATGAGAAAAACTTGATGATAAAAATGAATAAGGGATTTAATTTTCTCAATTATAATGTTTTCACAATAAATGATTTGATGATAAATAAGATGTATGATCAATGTGATTTTGCTCAACAATATCTCACTTTAATACTTTTCAAAAAGTCTAGCAATGAATGCAAGAAGTGAATGTATTTATAGAATTCAATGAGCAAAAGTATATGTGGAATCAGATAGTCAATCAGAAGTCTGCTTCCTTATCTAGAAGTATAAAAGCTATCCGTTATACACCAGACATTAGAATGTTAAAAAAAAGTGACCGCTACATGATCCGACGTTTATTATTTTGTCCGGATGTCAGCATTTCAAGGGTTTGATCCATTTCGTCTTTACGTGGTCCGTTGTGAATATTGTTAAAATATGATCTATGTTCACGTATATTTTTTAAAATCAATTTTTGTTTTTAATCAAAACATTTTATGGAAGCGATGATCAAAGTCATTTTTAGCACATAAAATGATTTTTGAGCTTTCATCGTTTAATGGTAAGAATTGAAGCGTTTATACCTTTACAAGTGAATACAAAAGTCTAACTCACTATCCTCCTTTGATACTTGACTATCGAAGCTCTTTGTCTTGAATGATTTATCTTGAATGCTTGACCTTCATCACTTCTTTCATTGTAAATCCAATTTATAATGATCGTTTAATGATAAGAATTGAAGCGTTTATACCTTTACAAGTGAATACAAACGTCTAATTCACTATCCTCCTTTGATACTTGACTATCGAAACTCTTTGTCTCGAATAATTTATCTTGAATGCTTGACATTCATCAATTCTTTCATTGTAAGTCCAATTTATAATGTGAAGGTCATGACACCGACCTCTTTGTCCTTGATTGATCAATATTACATAGGATGCTTTGAAGACTTAAAATTAATTGTTAGAAACAAAAATCAATTTGTTTGTTATGATCAAAACATTAATGATAAAGTGGGGGTGTTAATTTCACTCGTTGGTTTGGGTTGCCCATGGCTCACTTTGGGAAAAGCCCTAGCTGACGGCTACAGGTCAAGCCCCATTTTTGGGATTTGGTCCGAGCTTGGGCCAGTCCATGTGGCTAGTCGTCGACTCATGTCACGGGCTATTTTCGGCGTGTGACTAGCCAGACCTAAAAAAAAAAAAAAATTTAACCCATGGCAGCTGCAGCTACCTTCGCAGGCAGCTAGCTGATGCCTACAAATAGCAAGCAACTGC